CAAACAAAACGTGAACCACCAAATCTGGCACTTAAATTACTGGTTTGTTAGTGGCGCACTGGGTTGTGTAGGTCCAGAAAAAATGACACGGACTAGACAAATACATTAGACAAAGCTCCCCTAATGTGAAGCTGTGAAGCAAACTATCTGGGTTTATAACTCTTTTAGGTGATGTAGGTTTCACTCGCTACGTAGTTGTTGAAATTTTGAATAAATGCTGTGTCGGAATATCCTCCACCTCGAACTTTACCTATTTCAGTTGTTCTGCTCTCAACTAGTTTTTGACATCCACCCATTTATCAACCCTCCAGCTAACCTGAAAAGTGATTTTCGAGCACCAAGACTCTTAGAAGTGAATTAACAAATGATTGCCGTCCTTCAACTAGGTTTGCTTTCCATGCGACCTTGGAGGCGTTCATCCGTGTAGAACTCATAACTTCTATGGTTTGGCAGCCACTACCTGTACACGTATTCTTAGAGGATAGCGCAGGTGGTTCTTAACCCGGTTCTAGGGCAATGACTCACCTTTTCAAGGACCGAAACTGACTGATGTAGTAACGCTGGAGCCGATCAGGCGAAGTACCCTGCTAGGGTTTTTCACATCTTTCCAAACGTGCAATCCGGCTTTCGTATGTACTAGTGTTCGCACAACTTATGCGTACTATTCTGAAGGGTTTGAATTAACCTGGTGCAAACGAGAACATCGCTGTTTTGAGGTAAAACAAGGCCTGTGTGATCAGTTTATGACCAAGAAAAGCGGTGTTTCTTAAAATTCATCCGGCTAATAGAGTCAGGCATTCGGACAAACAGCACCTTCCAGCTCTTGTCCCCCCGCATTTTGAGCCTTTCTCTTTTGATTTGACAGAAGCTTCACTAATGTGTTTTGGTTGAAATAAGGCATCCGTTTGATCATTTGTATGTTTTTCAGTGATTGATTGAGCAACAGAATGTTGAAAATGTTGTTTGAGTATGCGTCTTTTAGGTAGAGAAACAGAACACAGCTTGTAAAATAAGTTCGCTTCCGGTGTGTTGTTGTTGTTCACAGAGGTGTTCTCACATACTCTTAACAGCTCTTGTCCCCCCGCATTTTGAGCCTTTCTCTTTTGATTTGACAGAAGCTTCACTAATGTGTTTTGGTTGAAATAAGGCATCCGTTTGATCATTTGTATGTTTTTCAGTGATTGATTGAGCAACAGAATGTTGAAAATGTTGTTTGAGTATGCGTCTTTTAGGTAGAGAAACAGAACACAGCTTGTAAAATAAGTTCGCTTCCGGTGTGTTGTTGTTGTTCACAGAGGTGTTCTCACATCACTCTTAACATCGATTCTTTCTGGTTTGGTTTGGTTTATCACACATGATAGTGTTTTAGTCGTATAAAGATGAACTGAATTGACAGTAACACTATACAGCATCGAGGAGAAGTTAACCAAAAATGTCCGTCGCTAATCGATCCAAACAAATCGTTGCGCCTAATCACCGCGGAATGAAATAATTACAAAAGAAGCCGACAAGTCACTTGGTCCTTGTATATGGAGAAAAACATGGTTTGAGGAGTTTCTGTTCAAACTAATTCTTATGCTCTTTGGAAGAAGTCAAACACGTCTAATTTGTGGCGTACAAAAGTATCCGTCAAGGAAACGGCAGCATTGTTTACTGCATTTTAGTGAAAATTTGGCGACAAAAACCAGGAATTAAAGCACAGAAGCCCCCTTGATCAAATTAGAGGTACATAAGGGCTCACGCTTTCAAAATCTTTGATAATGTGTGTAAATGACACGATTGGATTTCTGTTCTCATTGGCCGAATGACGTATCGTGGGCAACACTAGTGAGACCACGATTTTCTCCACGACCACTTCATCTAGAATACTCAAATTATTCAGCAAATCAACCCACGAATTTGGGGACTAAATTTATGTCCATTTTCGGTTTGCTACTGTCTGGCATCTCCAGATGGCGCCAAACACTATTGATACCACTCGCAAATCCAGTTAGTCGCGTATTCTGAGTTTTACTGGGCCTGTGCGGTACTCACAAATTCGAAATTAATACCCAAGTATTGCTAGTACGAGTTCTTGATTCTAAGTACAGTACACTAGATAGCTATCCTCATAATCTGAGCATAAAGACACTGCGCTCGGATTAACTGTAGGGTGGAACGCACAGAACAGATATCGGAGGCGCTCTGCTAAGCGCTTTTCCTGAGGCTGGAAAATGTACGGCATAAAATCTGTCTTACAAAGCGAAGTGGAATTTGCTGATGGCCAGCTTGAAGACGAACGGATCCATTAGTTACTCTCTGGACGTCCCACGTGAGTTTTTCTAGATCTTTGGATGACTGAAAAGCGTAAACAAAATGGAGACTCTAAGTCTGATTGGAATACACAGGCAACTGATAGTTCAGAAAGTTAATCACCTCGTATTGAAAGGTGATGAAAGTTATAAGTTATATGGGACATAATTTGGCAGAGTGTGTATGGGGGAAGAACAAATACTTCACCCTCGTGGAGGACCGGAAAAGTGCATCAGTTACCTATGAAGCCATATGGAGGCAGCATCTATTGAAAGGCACACCAGGCACACCTAGGCAATAAAATAAAAAGATATCGCATTTTCTCTGGTGTTATTTATCATCATACTTCTTTCCAAGCGCTATCAACCACGTTTCGCACACCCCCATAATACAAAACCGTATTTAACGAGTTATGAGGCAGATCTAAAGAGTTCATAAACTTGGAAGAAACTTTGCGGTTAAGAAACTTCTGAAATTTGAACATCGCTGTTGCTGTCGCACAGGTTGGTCAGAATAAAATTTTACTGCAACGCTCAGTCGCTTAAGTTCAGCCAAAAACAGAAGGGTGGAACGATTCGACATGCAGTTATCCCCTCCTGGACGGACCGCTCCCAGACGTAACATACTTTACTCTCAGATTCTCTTCTAGAGTGAAAAACCTGGCAGATTAAAACAAACATGTGGCTACTTGTTATTTTTATGAAAATAGTGTGACGGAAGTCTCAGAAACCAGGTCTGTTCGTCACCTTCATTGCTCTGACATAGTCCTCAGTTATCCTCCATTGTGCGTTAGTTTGAACCATGCCAGAGATGGCCTCTCAGAGCTAGGCAACTTTGGTTTCATCTACCAAGCCAAATATCAAACTCGAAGAAAAGTAGTGTGAACAAGTATGGTCTGGTACACGACCTACTTCTGATTCAAACTTTTAACTGTCCACCGCAGAGAATTAAAGGTTTACCCTTTTGAAAAAAGAGCTTCCTGACAGGGAATCAATAAAATTCAATTGTGAAGCGTCTGAGATATTCAATCTCTTCGTGTTTAATGAATTGCCTTTTCGAATACCATTATTTTCCACTCAGCTACAACATCTGTAAGTCCCTAGTTGTTCTCCGACCTATTTTTAGGTGATTGAACATGGTCCTACATGTTAACCGGAACAATTGACCAGCGGAAGACTGGCTAGCTGATAGGTTGGAAGGAACGTTTTAGCCTGATTCAATAATACGGCATATCTTAATGGATCCGGAGTGTGGATGCTGAACAAGAGTCTCAGTAATGATGAACCTCGGCAGACACAACCACACTTTGAGCCGAATACCAATCAGAGAACACACTACTAACATAGACACGCCAATCGCGTCAAAATGATAGTTGACCTCAGAAACATGTTAACCGGAAGAAATGGTGACGAGCCAAAATAGCACCATACTTATCCGTATTCAAGGGATTGAAAAACGTCTCCAAAATTTTGTCCGTGGCGCCCAAAACGTTTTAATACAACGACCTATTCCAACACACCATGTTCCGACTCTAAGGTTCCTAGAAAATTAATACCATAAGCCTAAACTATTTGTCGGGTTTTTATCCTGATCATCGTTAGTAACCAAAACATGGAATAAGTCTGAATGCGATATAAAACAATAAGGTACCGATTAAATTCAGGGTTGGGTTGGTCACCATTTTATTGCAAACCGACATCCTCACTTATAAAATTGCACAGAACAATTCTCGGTTTGTAGTACCGGGCGAACGTCATTCGAGTAAAGTATGGACGCTCAATACTGACTCAAAAACGTAGATCGGAAGGTTTTTCAGGTGGGCTCGACAAAGTTGCACCTTCAAAAGTTGTCCTCGGATAGGTGGAAGTTAGTATATGGTTTAAGGAAGCGACCAGATACAGTTGTTTGTGACGTGTGGTCGCTCTCCGGGGTGATATTCCCGGAAAGAGGTTCAAAAACGTGGCTTAGTTTATTCGGGTCAAGAGTTAAACCCTTGAAATGTATCGGCTGGTTGCAAATTGTTGTTGTCGATACAAGTGCCTGTTCAGCATTTGGTAAATTTGGTAGCACGCAAGAGGACGAAATCTAGAAGAAAATACTATGAGGTATTCCCCATGCATCTTGCACTTTTGCAAGTGTTCCTTCCCAGCTTATTGGATTCTCTGGACCCACAAAACGGGGACAGACCTGTTGAGGAAATGTTGACGATCAATTATCAGGCTTGGAGTGAACATATTCAAAGTTCCACGTACTTGAAAAATTTCTCGAGGTCCTTTAGTCTACCAGTTGAAGTGGCAAATGCTTCTAAGTAGGATTCATTTTGTTTGGGCAGTGTGTCCATGAACAGGCAGTTGAAAATGGATAGCTCGTCGCCAATTTAACGATATGATATACCGCATTCATTTTGTCTAGATAGCGTAGTTTTGGCCCCTTTGGAAAGTCCACCTCAGAAGGGTGAGGTCTCTCCTCCTAGGATTTATCGTAGTGGCGAACTGCCACCGAAATTTTCTCCAGGAGTTTAGCTGGAAATGGTGTTGACCGCCGGTATCTCCACTGGAGAACGACTTTACAGCCAGTAACACCTATATAATGTCCTAGGGTAACAGCACTGAATTGGTCACTGTGATGTCCCAATTTCAAAAGATGTCAAACTGGTGGCCAAATTCGTCCGTAAATATTTCCCTTGTCTATTCATCTCGTTTATGAAGGTATATGTGGTCGAGCAGTGGGCGTCAAGTTGGAGGACGCTCAGTCAGCGGACGGAAACAAACTTTTCTATCCATATAATATTATCAAAATCGCCAAAGACATGACCTCCTGGAACCTGAAAAACATGCTCAACCAAGCTAGAATTACAGACTCCGATATGGAACGGTTTAAGGTGAGCAAAACTATGTAACTATATTCCTTGGAATCATTAGGAGGAAAATGCTCTCCGTTTGTATGCTTTTGTTGCAGCTCACTGATGGCGACTACTGAGTTGTGATAACCGCGCCAAAAACCAGCTTTGGTAAGATGTCTCCCCACTATGAACTTCCACGTAAATAATAACTAATCAAGGAATACGATTAGGATAACCGTAACATAAGTATAGCCCAAAAAGCAGGTTTATGTGCCTGTCGTGATGCGTGTTGTTTCGTTTGACCCACTGAGTTGCAGTTTCGTCACACGCCGCTGTCACCCACTGATCTGCGCGGTAGAGGTATCATCACTCGAAGATTTTTCTGTGCTTTGCTGAGTATCCTCTTGGTCCTTTCAATCCACTGCTATAACATGTGCTGTGACTTGAAGGTTTGTCTTCCCTGTTAACCCTACTTGAACCACCGGTGTCTAGCCGTTAGGCTTCTGCACCACTGGACTTAATCAAGGACTCCAATCATTTTAAAGTCTATGTTCTTAATCCCTGGCAGTATTCTAGCGTGTGTGGGGACAGTGATCTGCAGATGGACAAATAACTTTGTGTCACACATGCTGTCGTGTGGCGCCATCTGCCTTAATTCCTGCATACACCTTGATGAGTAGCAGAAAAACAGCTTTATTGACGACTTTGAGCTCCTTTTATTTTTACCTCTTAATTTTCCTTTTATCTTACTTAATCATCACTCATTCCCAGATCCAAACCAGATGAAAGTCGCCAATAGTACACCATCACCCGTATCCGCAGTTTTCCATCCGCGTTTCGCACTTTGTTGTTTTTGCTCTGCGAACACTGACCGATCAAAAGCAGCCCTGTTACACACTTGATATTTTGCCGACAGAGTTTCACTGTGTTCCCCGGAAATCGATACCAGCTCAAGGTACTGAAATCGGACATACAGTACCATTGCAACCAACGACCTACCGATTAGCAACTTCAGAAGCTCTGAAGCTGTATTAGAACAGTGTACTTGATTGGATATTCTCAGTTCCCATAGGGACCCATTAAGGCCAAACCAATGGCATTTTCTTGTTTACATTCCTTACATATGCATCGGACCTGTGATACCTATTCGGTGATAGCACATTTTTATCCGGTACTAGCCACCCATACATCCAGCTGGAAAAGTAGTCAACGAGATCAACACTCAAATAGGACGCCCCAGTTCACTGCAAACCTGAATTAGTGGCCTGTTGAGCTTGTATACATGGCTGTGTGGTGCTCATTAGATGTTCTCTGGTGACATTTGGCTTAGGAACAGTAAAGGGTTGTGCCCCTACTGAAGACTCGTACTTGAAGATGAACTGATGGCATTGTCCTGAGCCACTGGTCGGAGAATTTCGACGTTAAACATTAGTCGTTCCGATCGTGATCACAATCTTGTCCGGTATAAAATGCTAATAAATTTCTCAATAAGACCTAGAAAACGGCCCAAAAATTACCTTGACTTGCTAGTTAAACAGGTCCGCTAGAACAACCAACGAGAAGCCCAAAAAGTTGAATCGTTAGAACGAGATACGCAGCGTCAGGAAATCAGGCATGTGATGTTTCTCAGTGCCTATCAGGTGAACACTAGATTTTAGTCACTGCTGCTTTTGATGTTGTCTTTTAGGATTGTGAGCATAATTTAACCATAATTAATGAACTCCTGGAATACTGATAGGTCGGATGAATTTATTTGTCGGTGACCAGGTGATTGTTGACCTGCTGACGTTTAGTCACCATTTAAGGAGACACCATTAGTGCGCATGCGTTTATTTGATATTTATTTGGTAGCGATCGCCATGTGAACGACTAGATATATTGTTTTACATCTGACTTCTGTCCCGGCTCCACTCCTTTAGTGCTGGAAGAGGACTCTCCGACAAAGAACACAATAGCTTTTTTGCGACAAGCGAGTGTGCGCGAGTGCGACGGTCTCGCGCTATTTAAAGGGCACTTTTTTTACATTGATCCCATCAACATCAACCCATCAACATATGAAACTCCTGAGCACTGATCATAGTCGACCGTGCTTCTGTGACGTGCTCGAACACTTGCTCGCTTCTACTGAATTGACTGAGCGCTTGGCATGGATGCTTACCGGCTTTTATATTGATATTTTGGTAGCGTTTTAAGGTCTCGGTAGATTCTGGGCACTCTGGGGTTAATTTCAGAAATTTGAACTTCCTAACATATTGTCTTTGGCCAGCCGTCATAAAACGCCGCTTCAACCGCGTGCAGTAACTGAGATGCTTCTCCTAACGGAAGTCTCTCGTTCGGAGAGCTTATGCCACTTCGAGTTCACAGTTCTTTCGTCCTCAGTGGGATTCATAATCAGTGTGCATCTCGTTGAGCCTTTCGACATTTCCAACGCGGACGGAAGTTTATCACTCTAGTATTCAGACATCAGCGACCGACCAGTATCACCTTCAACTTGCAGTTGGACATAATATAGAACCACTGGTGTGAACGAATGACGGAAAGTTCGAGTACACAGGTGTCTCCGCAGATTCTTGATTAAACTACCGTACAATATTTGTCGGTTTTCAGCATTCGTGGAATTCACTCACGAAACAAAAACTGACAACCTCATTCCTCACTTTACACACAAGTACGAATAATCCCGTGAAATATACTCATTTGCACATTCAGCTAGTTCTAACGGAAGGCTCAGATGAATTCTATCGCAATCTATCCTTTATAACGTGATTTTCCTCGATTAAATATACTGCGCAAATGCCTCCTCATGTTCCGTTTGATGAGCTATTCGATGTATCACAGTATACCTCCCCAAAGAAAACTACAAATGAGCTTACTGAGGAAGCCTATGGCAGCGTTATGAGTAACTTCATGACATGAAACATACCATTGATCAAAATAGTCTTCTTTTCAGAAGTATTCACTTGCGTAGACCGTCAAGACCAAATTACTTGATGTTGACTGCCTGCCTGAAGAATTAGTGGTGCTGTATTGTTCCTCAGGCAAATTTAATCACACCGCCGATCAGCCAGTGACCGCTGCATCGACTTTAACCATCAACAAAACTGCAGTAAACGTGAATGACTGGTAGCGCAGATGAGTGGATTTACGAAACCAACAGGTTATTTTGGAACAATAATAGGACAGATCGTAACACGATGTGAACAGTTGGCACGCATGGGGTTTTGATCTTCTCAAAAATATAGCAATATTTTCATACCAGACAAGAAAAATCAAACTTTTCCTCGCTGTAGGATTAACGGTTACATCACTGGACAGTTATGTTTCACTGGTTGATTAGTATCAATGGAAACTCAGCACCTCGATGTGTCTGTACAGACTTCAGAATGTTATCTTGTGGCAGAGCGATACTTTCCCCTGATAGCAAATATCCTGATCAACTAATAACCCGGTTGGCATCTTTTTACGTTAAAGAACCATAATCAAAATATCTGTTTGGTGTCTCGCTGATTTTTTGATACCTTGTTCCACCGTGAATGCAGGCTTTCATTTTAGTAGAATGGTGAGTATTGTACAACCTTCAAAGACATTGTTTGAGACTTACAAACTTCATTAATGTGGAAAGTATAGAGGTTGATTCAACTTCACCAGTCACGTGAGATTTGATATCCGATGGCGGGTTCACACCGAGACACTTGCATAATGAGCTTACAGACAACGTGTGTCCAAACTGATCGTGCATGACGGTAAAGTCAATAGCTATCACCGGTGGTTGATTACTTTCCCCGGTAAAAATGCGTTTCGAATTAATTAATGACAGGAAGCATGACCTTACAGTGCTTTTGCACGGCCGGCTACAAACTCGGTGCCGTAATCCCGGCAACGGTAATCAGCCACAATTGTCGTGCTGAGCCTATGTCTTAGAAAACAAAAACTTCTAAGGCCGTATTTGGTTGTGAATTAAGACCAGATTCATGGACGGATACCTTAACGTGTCCCACAAACAAAACAACAACCTGTTCACAAGGAGCATTCACACGGAAGTGAGTTGGACCTTTTTCATAAGGGAAACTACTCACAAGGTTGCTGAAAATTCTTTGACAGCTCACGACCGGTTTCGCCTTTTTTGGGGCTAATCAGGTAGGCGCAGTCCCCGAGTTTCCGTCAAACTTATGTTCTACCTGAGTTGGACCTTCTTACGGGGATTTAAAATCTGTGTCGAGTATTATCAACTCGCCTCATGCTACCACGAATCAATAAACGAATCAGAGAAAGGTTAATTACATTGGAGTTTAGCAAAGCTTACTTCTGAGAAGTCATCATTCAACAAACCGGCAGTACTTGACCACGTGATGCGATTTCCGTTATTCAAGGGTGAGCAATGCTGTGCCCTTTCTAATTGAGAGGAATCGCATTGCCGATAAGCCATTCAGTGAAGTGTTCAATCACTGGCCGGAAGTTCACCGGATGAAAACCCTCCAAGTCTCGTTACATGCGCACTGCTGACGATTTCCGACAAGGATGAAACAGTGCTGCAGCACTTCCAGGTTTTGTAGCACTGATTGGCTTCACTGGCATGATGAGGTCTCTGTGGAATTTTCGAACAAATAGCTGAGTAATTCGCTGAAGGTTTTCTCGACTTGTGTTTATAGATAATGCACATTAAACATTAAATCATATGCAGTCCCTCAACTTGGGAATATAACTGAAAGTGCGTGGCCTTTTCAACGGTAATTTAACTATGCACAATGCATCCGGCCTTTTAATTCAATTTAATGCTTCACTAAGGTTTTTCTCAACATTATCATGCCGTTCAGTTTGTACTCCTAGATTACGGGACCTGAACTATAAATACTTGTGGTCCACGTCGTTGCACTCAACAGATCGTTTTCATTTGGAGTCGTTTGTCGCTTAGCGCAAGAATCATACTCATCGGTCCTTCGAACAATCTTTCAGTTTCCTCTGCTAGCTCCACTGTTGGGTTCAGTCGATCAAGACTAGTTGCCCCAACCAGAAGGCAGTCGCCAGCCAACCTTGTGAAA